GAACAGCGTTCCTGCTGTGAAAAAAGTGCAGGAACGCCGTTCCCAAGCGTTCCTGCAGGACTCGAGCCCTGGCAAGAGTGCAGCCAATTACAAAAAGAATAATGTGAGGCCTGATAGAAAGCAGTTCTTCAATATCTTTCTAAAGGAGAATGAATAAGGTAGAATGCAAAGCCTGGTTACACGTTGTATCTCATTCATCAAAGTAAAAAAAAATGAAAAGTTTCTTATGATGCTCTGTCTGTTTCACATAGTTTGAAGTTTTAACCAGTTAACCAGTATCATAACTTCTCTCTGGCAACATTTTTGTGATACGCTACCAGACACAATACTTCTTTATTAAAACCAGTGTAGAACTTTTGTCATGACCCTATATACACCAGTCTCCCTCAGATCATAGTACCTTTCATAAATGGACTTTATAGTCAGCCATACCACTTAATCTCAATGAAGTGGTTTGGTTGCAGTGGTCCTGTCCATTTAACCCTGCAATCTAAAAAATTTTTAAAGACTACAATGTTTACATTACATGGTTAACTCCATCTCCAATTATTGTCAGAATGGCAGCCACAAGAGGTGCTTTCATTGCACTCGAGATACGAAAGCCTCCATAGGAAGGCACTGATTCAATGTTCTTTTCCATGAGGAACGTTGTTTTATACCCACATTGAGGAGCCTTCGAGCAGGAAAAAAGTGAGTAAACCTTTTATTTTCTTTTAATGCTCACTCAATAAGTTGAATCTATATAAATACTATTAACAGTAATCATAATAAGTAGGTACAGGGACACTATAGCAAGTTTGTATTCCTAACACTATAGTGTTCTTTTAATATAGGTATATATTCTATGTATATACATTCCAAAACATCATTTCACTCTGGGTAGAAATAATTTCCTCTACAAATATTGTCTTTCACTATGTCTATTTTATCAATGTGGTCATTAAATGATAGGCTGCTATCAAGAACATGTTTTTAACGTATAAGATAGATACAGTTGTGTTCAAAAGTTTGAATACCCTGGCAGAAATTGTGGCATTGATTTTGAAAATGTGACTTATAGATGCAAAAAATTTATTTTATTGAAGGATAGTGATCATATGGAGCCATTTATTATCACATTGGCTCCTTTTAAAAACACGATAACAGAATTTACCCAAATGTGAAGTTTACATACCATTGAATGTTTGGCCTTGTTAAAGACACACAATGTGACACACACATGTTAAAATGGCAATTAAAAGTTAATTTCCCACACCTGTGGCTTTTTAGATTGCTATTAGTGTCTGTGTAGAAAGAGTCAATGAGTTTGTTAGCTCTCATGTATGTGCACTGAGCAGGCTAGGTACTGAGCCATGGGGAGCAGAAAAGAACAGTCAAAAGACATGCGTAACAAGGTAACAGAACTTCATAAAGATGGAAAAGGAGATAAAAAATATATCCAATGCCTTGTATATGCCAGTCAGTACTGTTCAATCACTTATTAAGAAGTATAAAATTCGGGGATCTCTTGATACCAAGCCAAGATCAGGTAGACCAATAAAGATTTCAGCCAAAATGGGGGGCAAAATGCATATTTGCCTATGTAGCCAAAAATCCTTGCACCAGCCGTGGCTGCGCATGGAACTCTCTTGGACTTACCAGCATGACAATGACCCTAAGCACAAGGCCAAGCCTGTCCAGTGGTTACAGGAGAAAAGGTGATGGTTTTAGAGTGGCCAACACAGTCGTCTGACCTTTATATCAGCTATTTAATACCGAGCTAATTTTGTGTTATAAAGGATTACCAAGGCAAACATCAAACATGCTTTTCTAATCCCTCTTGACAAGGTACATTATGTTTTCTTATTTCATGGTACAATGCAAAATGGATTAGTTTGCGCACACACACACACACACAAAAAAAAAACAGTACATATTGTAAAGCACTGTAGAATACATTTGCGTAATATAAATGCCAATAATAATACCTATATTTAAATATGTACAAGTCAACAAAGATCAGAAATATCATATTCTGAGCCATTTTTTGTGTGATACCGGTAGGATTAGTCTGAATGGAGAAAATGTGGTGAAAGTGACCGAATTCCAGCCGCAATTCTCATATTTACTAATTCCAAATACAGTTGGATTACAGTCAGCCTGTGCAAATGTGCAGCAAATATAAATGACACTCTACCTTCTGGAATAAAAAAATTCTGCAGGTGAGTGTCAGCTGGAAATAGTCACTTAGATATGTTAATAATTTACAAATTGATGTATGCAAATGTGCAGCAATCACCTGAGTGCATTCGATAGCTGCATTAAAGCCTGCTCTTTTGCATCTATACAAATGTTTCAGAAGATTCTCTTAGTGCAGATTTTAATAAGATTTGGAACCCAATTCCACCAATGCAAATTCACAAGCGATCCAATATCTGAATGCTGTAGCTAAATGTAGATAACATAGGAAATCACTTATAATGGTGTTCTCCACTATGCAAGCTCAGTCTGAAGATGGACCACAGGTAGGAACAGGGAAATTGATTGTGATCTGTTCTATGTAAAATTTTGATTTTATTGGCATTTTCCCTAGAATACATGCTTTTGCCAAGCTATGGTTTAGCTGCAATGTCAACAACTGGGACAGTGTATGTTCATTCACATATGGAATATTTTCGATGCCTTTAAATCCTTTACATTGACCACATCAACCTTTACAGGCAACAATAGCAATCTCTGTCCTTCAAACAAACCTTTAATAATGAAGAAACTCATATTTACGCACTATAATTTTGGAATCAAATTCTAAGATGACCATAAGGTGAGTTTTAACCCATTCTGAGGAGGTTAAGGGGAGGGAGAGGGCAAGCCACCTAATTGGTGGTTTTCACTGTAGGACCAGGAATACATGTTTGTGTTCCTGACTCTATAGTGATCCTTTGACTGTATTATTAAAAGTATATACATATATATAGTAATAAAAGCATTAATTACGGAATAACGTGCTCCAGTACCAGTTGAGGCGTTTAACCCAGATTGCGCTTGCTCAGAAGTGTGGATGCTCATTACAAATGTCCCAGTTTATATAGGCAGTCTATTCCTAATTAGTATAGTCTGGTGTGCTGTTCAACTTCCTAAATGTTTGAAGGTCACACACGTCACCTGGAAATAACGCGTTCGAACCTCTTCCGTGGCAGGATGGAAGATGTACTATATATCTTTACCTTGGAAACTGTAAGTAGGATACCTACTCTTTATTATCTGGTATTTGCCATCAATATACTATACCGTTAGATTTTCTCTCTGCTTTCTTCTGCATGGTTAATGAACATTAGAAACCTACTACATTGCATACCCTCACATCCCAAGACGGGGATTATACCATCCAAGCTCTATACAGCAGAGCTCTTAGTAACTCTAGATAGTGTGAGTTAGTCTTTTATTGTTTATCCTTAAAAATAGCAGTGACATATTACACTAGTACTTTTTCTTATTCTGTTTTGTTCTAAGGTTCTCTAAAGACAGAAACTATTGACCTCCAATAAGTGCACATATATTTCTTATGAGACACTGGTTCTTTGTATCAATGTATTTTTTGGTGCAGTTTATCACATCTCTTTTCATCACGTTTTGTACTTTATGCAAGGTTTGGCAATACCTGCTGGTTCACTGCTGCCTTCCACTCTATTATTATAGTGAGCGCCTATTTCTTGCTTTTGTAAATCATTTTGAGTGCAGGGTTTCCTAATTTAACTGGAGAGGGAGACATCATGTCAGTTTCCCAGGATCCAGGGAGCATATGGTCAACACATAAGTGGAAACCGTTAATATATATTCTCTCTGTTTAGGTTCTGCTACATTTTATTTTTTGTAATTTCTGTTTATCTATTGGTCTCATAGTTATTGTATATATTATAATTGTATGCCTGCTTCTATCTTATGGAAATATACCAAGAAAACAAAATCATATAATCTCTAATATGTTTTAGGCACCTAATATTTCTGTAATGGTATAATGCATACAGGAAACATTTCCATTTTGTAAATTTCAATTGACATGCAGACAAACGACTAACAAAACAATAAATATTTATTGTTTTGCTAGTTGTTTACTCTTCATACCATGTTTTTATGTCAAGCCTTAATCGTGTATGTGATTATGCTCTACTGATCCTAATAAACTTTCCCTGTATTGCACCACACCATGATGCCTTTCGAGTAAGTGATTTTTCCAAACTATACACTTAAACGGACACTCCAGGCACCATATCAACATCATATAAATAGAGTTGCTATGGCGTCAGTAGGACATTAGAGGCAATCTTACCTCAAAGGGTTAAACCATTCTCTTAGTTCTCCTAAGTTGCCTTCAGCGGTGAAATCTACTTCCCTTCTGGCGGCATCCAGGTTCAGAATTTTCATAATCAGGAAGCGCAGAGTGCCACCAGGCAGTAGCACTCTATTTGGCTGAGACCAGTCTGAGAGCGGTCCCCATTTACTAAACTGTCTTAGAAAGAAGCGTACCTTTCTCAAATCAGGTTAGAAAATGAGGAGTCACTGATTGGCTGAGAGTATCAGTCGACCGTTCTCAGCCAATCAGTGATGCCACTGCCATGCGGCACTCCGGGCTTCTGGATTTCGAACATTCTGAAGCCGGATGCTGCCAGAGGGTCAGTGGAGATCATTTAGATGAAGTTTTTCTGGTGCCTGGAGTGTCCCTTTAACTGAAATAGTTATAATAATTGTGATTTAAAAACTAAATCGTACATTATGATGCTCCTTAACTGTTTAGAGAGACAAAGGTGGGAAAGAATATAAAAATGCTTAGAGCACTGTTTGATTTAATGAAAAAGTACAACTTGCTAATGGTCTCATAACAGGAGCTTAAACATCAACATACTGGTTATCTGAAGAACGTCTTTCTTTATAAAACTTGAGTTTCTGTTTATATTGATGAATTGCCTTGCTTAGAACCATAGGACGTAGGCCATTCTAAATTGATAATGGCATAGGTCAACTGAGACTGTGAAAATTACTAGCTTTTTTATTGTTGCCAAAAAATAAGAAATACATTTGGTATATGGGTTATTAAAAGAATGGCTGAATCAGTAACATTTTAACATGACAGTTTGGTGATGGATAAAACATTATGTAAAACGTTATACCTGTCTCTGACATTCAAATTATTAAACTGCTAAGCAAAGCAAAAATCATTCCGCTAAGATTGAATGATTCGTTATTTTACCAGTGATCATGTAGTCTAGTCAGCTTCATAGTACAAACTAAAGTGAACTATATTAGCCAACAGTTTTCTTTTGGACGTCATCAAGATTCTGTTTGTTACCTGGAAGTTTTTCTGGAAACAAAAAAAAGATAAAGAACGTTTTAATGTTTGTCAAATAGATCATTACTAATGCAATAAATCAAGCATTATGTTATATATGGCTTTTCGGAATTAGTTCTTAATGGGTTAAAAAAAAAAAAAGAAAAATGGGTCAGGAGAGTCCATGTTAGGAAGATAAAACAAGTGTCTTGTTATCTATTTAAAAGGAATACTATAGCATTAGGAATACAAAACACTATAGTGTCCCTCTGCCTCCGCACTCACTGTGGTGTTGAAAGAGTTAAGATCCATTCCACACTTTCCTTCATTTAAGCACATTAGAACTTCCCCATATGAAAACATTGAATCAATGCTTTCTTATAGGGAGTTTGAAGATGCTGGGCTGGCCATCCTCATGTCCATAGTTGTTTCAAGAGGTTAAACTCCATGAAAATGCAGGAAGCACCTCAAGTGGCTGTCTGGAAAACAGCCACTAGAGGCTGTCTTAATTAACCCTGCAATATAAACAATGCAGTTTCTCTTAAACTGTAACTAAGGGTACAATGGCACTGCACCCAGACCACTTCAATGAGATGAAGTGGTCTGGGTGATTATGGTGCAGGGCTGGACTGGGATGAAAATTCAGCCCTGGCAGTTAATGGCAGAGCAGCCCACTGTGAGAGGAGGGGCCAAAAGGGGGGCCTGTTAATTGTGTATGTATACGTATATAGAGTAGTGTGTGTGTGTGTGTGTGTGTGTGTGTGTGTGGGAATGAATGCATGGGGGTGTGGCGTGTATAAGGGATATAGAGGGTGTAGTGTATGAGTGCAGGGGGTGTAGTGTGTATTTATAGAGGGTATTGAGTGTGTGAGTGTGGAGACTGTAGTATATGTTTAGGGGGTATAGAGTTTGTGTACTGTGTGTATGTGAGTGATGGGTGTGTGTATGAGGGTTATAGAGTGTGTGTAATGTATTGGTGTGTAAGTGCAGGAGATGTAGTGTGTGTGTGTGTGTATGTGTGTGTGTGTATTTAAAGGGGTATAGAATGTGCGTAGTGTGTGTGTGAGTCCAGGGGGTATATAGAGTGTGTTGTGTGTAAGTGCAGGGTGTGTAGTGTGTCAATAGGGCGCAGGATACCAGAGTGTGTAGTGGATTAGTACTGGATATGATGGCTTGGGGTGTAGTGGGTTAATAGTGTGTAAGATGGCAGGGGGTGTAGTGAGTTAATAGGGGGTATGATGGCAGGGGGTGTAGTGGGTTAATAGGGGTATGATGGCAGGAGGTGTAGTGGGTTAATACGGGGTAAGATGGCAGGGGGTGTAGTGGTTTAATGGGGGTAAGATGGCAGGGGATGGTTTAATAGGGGTAAAATAGCAGGGGTAAAATGGCAGGGGGTATAGTGGGTTTAATAGGGGTAAAATGGCAGGGGGTATATTAGGTTACTAGGGGGTAAGATGGCAGGGGGTGTAGTGGGTTAATAGGGGGTAGTGGGTTAATAGAATATGGCAGGGGGTGTAGTGGGTTAATAGGGGGTAAGATGGCAGGGGGTGTAGTAGGTTAATAGGGGCTGTAGTGCGTTAATAGGGGGTAATATGGCAGGGGGTGTAGTGGGTTAATAGGGGGTAAGATGGCAGGGGGTGTAGTAGGTTAATAGGGGCTGTAGTGCGTTAATAGGGGGTATGATGGCAGGGGGTGTAGTGGGTTATACGGGGTAAGATGGCAGCTGGTGTAGTGGGTTAATAGGGGTAAGATAAAATAACTAAATGACTTATAGCTAAATATATAATGTCCATTTAATTTTATATTTAAAATGCCATGCAGCTTGTCTCATGAGTGGCTGTCCTCAACACTCCAGAAAACTATTTAGTAGACAATATATCTGAAACAGAAGCACAAAGGGGCTTCTGTGGGATAGGAGGGTTATTAAATTAAAAAAAATAAAATAAGATAAAGGAGTCAAGACAAGGGTACTTACAAAGTACCAATACCCCTACCTGTACTGTACTTTAAGATGCAGACAGTGACAGGGCAGTCTTGTCTGGGCTCAGCTCTGTCTTGCAGAGCGTTCTGCAGATCTGACAAGATGCCACCGAAATGCTGCGCACTGTAGCCAGCCACCGCGCATGTTGCTACTCACATCCAGCTCATGTTGTTGCTGCTCACATCCGGCGGGCCGCGGCCGTGAGAAAAATCTATGCTAGAGCCCGCTGGAGCATTGGCCGTGGCGCGCGGTGTGGCCGCGACAGGATGAACCAGAACAAAAAAATTTCCTGGCTTGTGGATGGGTGCAGCCAATGCTCGAAGCGGTCCCAGGGCAGGCGGCCTTCCAAGAAATCTCCAGGTATCCCGGTAGGCCAGTCCAGCCCTGCTATAGTTTCCCTTTAAGAGGTTTAACCATTTTACAAATAGTGGATATTCCTGCCAGTTTGGTGTTTTCCTTGCTGCCCTGTTGTAGATTATTGCTGCACCTGACAGCTGACTCTTCCAAACTAAGGCACAACCAATGTGCATTATGAGAGTTAAGAATTGGTTCAAAATGACTTCATGAGATGAGGTAATTGTTCCTCATACTTGGCACTTGGTGGATAAAGGCTCCTTGACCTCAATTTACTTTTTTAAAGTTTCCTTGAAATACAGGTAGGATGTTTAGGGACTCAGCCATGTTATTTTCCCACAATACAATGAGGGGAATGATGGAGAATTGGTCAAGAAAACGTAAACTGTAAGTGAAAATGTTGAAGGTGCAAAATAGCTGGAAGCCCCTTGGAAATGTCACACGACTACAAGACTGAATACTAAATGAGGAAATCATTGAAATACCCAATATACTCACTGCATAGTTTGCCTTCACAGGAATTTCTGCAGGTAGAACATGGCCTTCCTGACTCATAGGGTCTGTGCTCCTTACCGATCATATTACCCCTAAAAGACAAAACATTTCCTTCTGCTATTTGCAAATCAATTACCATGACAACGTTTAGTATAGAACCACATCTTAATACTGTTAAGATTAAAATAAATCAAATATAACATTATTGACCAAATTAAACTTTATTCAGATCAGTGGAAGTAGTTTTAAGAAAAACTGACAGAGATATTCACTACACTCTGAAGCCTGAATTGTTAAATTGAGGCTAAATAGCCAAGCTGTTACTATATTCGAGTTTGAAAATTTCTTCAGATAATATTTTACGCTAAATGTTGCAAAATTTTTCAGACACAGCCCAGCACAATTCAGAGCTTAGTGAAAAAACATATGACTCCTATTATGACGCTAATAAAATTACCTTAAAGGATCACTATAGTCAACATATAAAAGCAAAAAGACAGGTCCCCTAGCCTTCTTTCTTGCTTTTTTATGAACTTGCCACTAAAAAGTAAATAAATCCGAGCTCTTTTTATTAATAAAACTTACCTCCGTTGCAGCACTGAGCTCTTTGCCAGGCCAAAATGACAAAATTGCAGGGCCCAATCAAATACTTCTCTTTGAGAAGCGTCATCGCTCTCTGGTGCGCATGCGCGGCTTCGTGCTGCAGCAATCAGGTTCTTCATAGAGCAGCATTGAATGTGTAGGACTAAGTGCAGGACTCTGTGTGCAGGAGATCTTATCTCCCACAATCCCACGCGCTGCTGACAGCCTCAGGGAGACAGGATACTCATGCACAGTGCTCTGTCTGCTGACAGCACCTTTGAGTGGATGGATGCGAATTATGCATCCATCAACTCGGAAGTCCCTCTGGTGACAGTCTGAGTGACTGCAACTAGAGGTGTTCCTAGCTTTCAATGTAAACACTGTATTTTCTCAGAAAATACAGTGTTTACATGAGAAAGGCTGCAGGGAGCTATAGTTCTCACCTTAACAACCTCGTTTAGCTGAAGTTGTTCAGGTGACTATGGTGTCCCTTTAGCCACTTAAGGACCATATGACTGTCTATGCTTTAACGCCCATTGATGCCATAGAGCAGGCTTCCTCAAACTCCGGCCCTCCAGATGTTGCTTAACTACAACTCCCATGATTCTATGAATGAAATAGGCTGAGAATCATGGGAATTGTAGTTCAGCAACATCTGGAGGGACAGAGTTTCTGCAAGCCTGCCATAGACAGTCATGCAGTAAAAGTAATTGCCGGGGCTAAATCACTGCTGATACCAAGGAACCCCGAGCAGGGCTGTATTTACCACAAGGCAAACAAGGCATTTGCAGAGGGCGGCACTTCCAGGGGTGGCGGCAAAAAACACCACCCCAAGCACACAGGCAAATGCCTTGTTTGCCTTATGTCCTGGTGGGCCCAAGAGCTGGCTGGCTGGCTACCTTAGGGTCTCCCCATGGTGTTAAACTACTAATATTCTATCCGGATGGTGAGGGAGCCCTGTCCTGAGGACATTCTATCCGGATGGTGAGGGAGCCTCTTCTTGCTCCCTTCTGTGATGCCAGGAGACGGAATATGACATCACTCTGGCCCTAGCATCACTAAGTGGTGCAGAGGGAGCTGAACAATAAGAGCTCAGTTCCCTCACTGCCTCCATTGAGTGCCAGCAGCCCCAGCAGCCCCATTAGAGCCAGCAGCCCCAGCAAAGCCAGCAACCCCAGCAGAGCCAGCCCAGTCAGCAGCCCCAGCAGAGCCAGCCCAGTCAGCAGGAGCCAACAAGGACCCTGCCGAGTCAGCCCAGCAGCTGTCAGGGACAGCATCCACTCCAGCCTTCCCAAAGGTAAGGAGACTGGGTGGATTTAAATAAAAAAAAATATATTAATAATTTGTGAGTGTAATGAATGTATGAGAAAATGTGTGTCTGTCAGTGTGTGTGTGTGTGTGTCAGTGAATGTGTGTGTATCTGTCAGTGTTTGTGTGTGTCTGTCAGTGAGTGTGTCTGTCTGTCATTGTGAGTCTCTATGTTTGTCATTGTAAGTGTGTGTCTGTCAGTGAGTGTGTGTGTCATTGTGAATGTCTGTTAGTGAGTGTGTGTATGTATGTCTGTGAGTGCATGTAGCTGTCAGTGTGTATCTGTGAGTGAGTGAATGTGTGTGTGTCTGTCAGAGTGTATCAAATCAGTGAGGAGTGTGTGTCAGTGTGTGTCTGTCAGTGTATGTGTATCTGAGAGTATGCATCTGTCAGTGAGAGGGTGTGCCTGTGTGTGTCTCAGTGAAAGTGTGTGTTTGTTAAACAGTGTGTGTGCCAATGACTGCATATGTGTGCCAATGACTGTGTATCTGTCAGTGAGTGTATGTCAGTGCATGTATCAATGAGGACGTGTGTGTCAGTCAAAAAATTGGCCCTGACATAAATTGGTGATGCAAATTTAGATTAGGGGGTGCCCGGATTTAGTTGTGCCTAGGGCAGCACAATTCCAAAATACACCACTGACCCCAAGTATCTTTCAATCTGAGCGATCTAGCTCAGACATGATATTTCTAACACTGCCTCGAACCAGCAGAATTATAAAAAAAAGCTGATCACCACAGTTAGTGGCCCATGACAGACAGAAGGGATATTAGCAGCATGAAAAGTGAGCACTCATAACCTTTTTAAATGGATTTAGGTACAGTGGCTGAGCGATCATGTTCAGCTGTAAAAAATGTAAAATGGTCAATGACACCCCCAGCCTGGTTCCATCCCCCACTGTAAAGGAGACCCAGGGGGTACTGAAAAGGTCTCCCTGCATGTTCCAATCCTCCTGGATTGGTGCTGGGCTTTGCCAGCTACCCAGCACTGATCTCTGTGTGAAGGAGCTGTAGCATTAGAGGGTGGGATTAAAGGGTGGGATTAGATGGTGGGAGGACTGGGATTGGAGGGTGGAATTAGGACTGGGAATATAGATATGATTATTTTTTGGCACTGCAGGGACCATGCTCCTAAATCATACTAGTTTAGATAGGATTATTGGTAGGACTATGGGTTGGAGAATGGGTTATATTATGGTTAGGATTAAGGTTGGATTATGGGTAGGATTAGGAGCTGGAAAAGGGGTTAGATTATGGGTAGAATTATATCTTGAATTATGGGCTGGATTAAAGGTTCAATTAATTGAAATTCTAAAAATATTGGGTGTTTTAACAATCAGGATGAATTTGTGAATCTATTTTAGTTTTTCTTCATTTGCACTTGGTGCAAAAAATTGCAGTTTCTTCAAAGGACAGGGACACTGTACCCAGACCACTTCTTCTCAATGAATTAATCTAGGGGACAGATATAATGAATGTACTACTGCATGTTTTTTCCACTTCTTAAAGTGACGCAGTTAGAATTGACTCATATGTAAGACATTACATAGTTAAGGAATTAAAAATATGCAAACATATTATTTAAAAAATAGAATTTACTAAGTTTTCACCTTCTTCAGTGAGCTCTGTGAATGTTTTCAACAACAGGATGTTATTCAGCCAATCAGAAAATATTTGGATTGCATGATCATGCAGTGTGTAAAGCCATGTAATGAAAGGAGTTAAGCACTATCCTAAGAGGATTTGAGACATCTTTATGTTAACCCTTTCAGCATATTTTAAACAAGGTAAAACTACCAAATGTAAACATCATCCCTAAGTAAATTTAGCAATGCCATGCTTAATGGTGTTTCATCCATTCTCTCGGAATGTGTAGTTGTGGTCCAAGGGAGAGGACTGGGAGGGTGGATGGGGGTGAGAGTGACTAGAGAGAAAGAGTGATGATATTGGTGTGGTTGAGGTCTTGTTCCCCTCTTTTTGTTTATTTCTTTTTTATTTAACCCCTTAAGGACACATGACATGTGTGACATGTCACGATTCCCTTTTATTCCAGAAGGGGTTAAAGGTTTTTATTTGTTTGTTATTTTCTTTAATTGTGGGGAAAAAAATTAAATAAAATAAGCTGAATTTTTATATATATATATATATATATATATATATATATATATATATATATACACACACACACACATATATACACACACACACACACACACACACACACACATATATACACACACACACACATATATATATATATATATATTTTCATTCTGGTATTTTATCCAGAACAAAACTGTCCAATATCCCAGTGCTCACTACCTCGCATTGCACAGTGTCATTATATGATAAAGGCATAAGGATGTGAATTCCCATATTACCATGTTCCTAACAGCTGGTGGTTAGGAGCTTGATGTGCTCAGAAATCCAAAAAATTAAATATTAAAAGAATATATATTAAAATTAATATAATATATGTCTATAATTATAATATTACAATTAAAATAGTTTAGCATAAACAAAGGGATTTTCATCCATTGGTGCTTTAAACTACAATAAGTTGTAATCGTTATGTTGCTTGTAGGTCTATTTACACCTCCTACAAATTCTACAATGCCAAGGTTAGTTATCACTACACAATGTGAAATTAGCTATCACTAATGCATTAACCCCTTCAGGACGGAGTCAATAGTACACGTTCTGATCAAAACAAAACGTAAGAAAAAACTGGAATTTGCGCCATATGTCTGTTCACCCGTAGTTCACCTCTTTCATATTAAGTGCACCCACACTTATTATATATCATTTTGTTCAGGAGAAACAGGGCTTTAACTTCTATTGATATATGAAATATAAATTATGAATAAAATGAAAAAAAACTGTGAGAAATTTATATTTTTGTACAGCACAAAAAGCACATATTTGGATTCAGCAAAGTCTCACGAGTACAACAGTAGCCTCCATTAACAGTTTTTACAGTGTTTTGGAAAGTTAAAGGGTCTAATATAGCACATTCCATTTTTCACTTTTTTCACATTGAAATTTGCCAGATTAGTAACGTTACCTTTGAGACCGTATGGTAGCCCAGGAATGAGATTTACCCGCATGTTGGCATACCATTTGCAAAAGTAGACTACCCAAGGTATTGCAAGTAGGATATGTCCAGTCTTTTGTAGTAGCCACTTAAAAACAAATGAATGCTAAATTTGGCCAGTGTTTGTGACTGTGTGAAAAAAAGCAAAAAACAAATATTTGGCCAGTGTTTGTGACTTAGTGGCTACTAAAAATGACTGGACATACCCGATTTGCAATACCTTGGGTTGTCTACTTTTGCAAATAGTATGCCATCATGGGGGTAATTCTTATTCCTGGGCTACCACACAGTCTCAAACGGCAACATAACCAATCTGGCAAATTTCAATGTGAAAACAAATGAAATGCAAGCCTTATATTTGACTCTCTAACTTTGCAAAACACCATAAAAAACTGTACATGGGGGCTACTGTTATACTTGTGAGACTTCACTGAACACAAAAATAAGTGTTTTAAAACAGTAAAACATATTACAACAATAATATTGTCAGTAAAAGGGCCGTTCGTGTGTGAAAAATGCGAAAAAGTAACTTTTACTAAAAATATCATTGTTGTAATACAAGTTACCATTTTGAGAATATTTGGGTTCAGCGAAGTCTCCCGAGTAAAACAGTAGCCCCCATGTACAGGATTTATGGTATCTTGGAAAGTTACAGGGTTAAATTTAGTGCTTGCAATTCAAATTCTCTGCACTTTCTGCCTGGGTGGTCAATCAAATTTTAATTAATTAAATCACATAATTATGTTAAAATATTACTTAAATATACACATAGAATTTTAATATATATACATATGTATGTATTTAAAGTCTACGTGTACACTTATGTAGTTATTTATGTAATTATATATATATATATATATATATATATATATTTGCAGTTATTTGTATTTTATATATAGATAGATATATATAGAATGTCATTCTAAGTGTATTTTGTTACATATATATATATTTTTTTTATTAATAACAAAATACAGTTAGAATAAAATTACATATGTATAATTTATTTTAATTTAAAAAATATTTTATTTATTTATTTTATTATTATATTTATTATTGTAATTAATTATATATATATATATATATATATATGTAACATCATTCTAAGTGTATTTTAATACTAATATATGTACTTATATTAACATAAAAATACACTATGTATGACGTTATATATATATATATATATATATATATATACACACACACACACACATATATACATATATACACACACACACTTATTTTATTTTAAACTTGTCTAATATTTTTTTTTTACACTACACACCAGCAGGGGGACTGTCTGACATTTCAGACAGTCCCCTTGCTGGCAGATCCACAGCCAGCTATAGGGGGCCATGTGATCGCTCTTTGAGAGCGATCACATGGCCCCCCAGGGGCCTGATTTGCTGTGGGAGGGGTGCCTGGGCTGTCAGGCAGTCCTCCCGAAGAGGATCACAGCGGAGGTAAGTAAATCTCACCTCCTGGAGCAGAAAGCCGTTACGGTTCGGTTACGGTTCTATGCCGCTGCAACAGCTTTGAAGACCAATGGGGACAACATAGAACGCCGTAATGGCGTTAAGGGGTTAACATATTTCATACTAATATTATGATTTCAAGGTATTTTTAAATCTCTCCTAGTAGATTTTTATGTTAATATTAATTCAGGTTTTAAAGTTTCAAAAATAAATTTAAAAATAACAAAATAATATAGCGTGCACTTATGCAGTACTTACTGTGGGCAATAATGGCAAATGTACAAGAATGGGAAATCAGTGTCAGAGCAGTAGTTTACCGCACATCCAACTAAAAAAGAAGTGGACCAGACAACCTTAAAATAAAAATAGAAAACAAAAAATATTTAGATATTAATATTTTAGCCTAGTACCATTAAAATATGTTTGTCCATGTACTGATGTCAGATTTTATTATTGTTATCGTATTAATGTTTTATATAAATATCACAATAAAGCCTTAATTTACTGTGTCATTCTCACAACAGGGTTAGACCGATAAGTTTGAATGGGCACATAGATTCAATTTCCAGAGCAGCATGACACATATTTCAGATGGTGTTGTGGTGCATCAGTCTACATCGAACTCTGCAGCTTTGGAAATAGTCTAGCGTAGGCTGATGGAAGAGCGGTTCCACAACATTTTGGGTAAATTAAAATGAGTGGATTTTTTTTTTCTTCATTTGATTCATTGCCCAGACTGTTATCATGAGAACCAAAAGTAGATGGTAAATCTTGCAATGTGTCATGGATTCTCCTCCTTCCCACATAAGAAAACCCTGTTATTTCTAGGTCTTCATTTCCTAGGGGACGTTGGAATAGACCTTATAAAATAAATGTTGTGTAAGGTGTCTCCAGAAACCTCTAGTAATAACAACAACCCATATTAGATAACGTTTGTTGAGAAATGATTGTCTAGATAACTATGATGAATAGCCCCACACTTCCTGTTTCTGTTGTATAGGATGGAGAAGGCTCATTATATCAGGCAGGTGTCAATGATGGCATGTCCCCAACTCTTCTTTCCAGCCTCTGTGTCATGATAAATGATACATTGGCATGGTACACAAGGGTCCACATCTCTTCACAACTAGAAGACCAGAGAATATTGCTCGGAACTAATTATCTACATAAATATAATAGTTAAAACTGCATGACCTTCTGTTTTGCTATTTAAATTCAATGACAAGTCTGCCTAATATAGTGGCCACTTAGTGTTGAGCAGAGCAAAATCGCAAATGAGCTTCATTAAAAGATACTTGGGAAATAAATGTGAAGGAAATAGATAAGAGCAATGTATTTAACTGTTGGAGGAAAAGAAAACAGCGGAAGAACATAAATTATTAAACTATTAGAGTTATGCACTAAGGACTAAATTGACTAGGTTCTGGATTGACAAAATTCAGTTAAAATAAAACCAGACTTGCAAATTCCATATTTACTAAAGACATGTACAGTTGAAATTCAGTCATTCAACTTAAATCTTTTTTTTTTTTTTAATAGAATTAAATTTGGCGTTTGGTTTAAAATTTGTAATTTTATTTACACATTTACCAAATCTCAGATTAATACTGGATCTTGCCTGGAATCAGACAAATCTACAAAATAGCTATATTTAAATCCAAACTAGCATTCCCGTTTCACCGAACCGATCTGAGTGATCTTTGGATGTTATACACTTAGATTCAGGGATTCCTAGTTATGGTGGGGGCACTTATGGTTACTGTATGTTTTGTATAGCTTTTCTGGACCTGAGAGATAATTGAATTATAGGTTTTTCTCACATAATTATCTCTCAGACACAGAGGATCTTGGGGTAGAAACCCCTGTGTTATTGTATTGGAGATCCTATGTAGGGGTCTGTGCATAGCCATGTGTTGTCAAAAATTAGTCAGTAGACTCCCAGAAATATGTTTCATCTGGTTACTGAGGAAATGGATGTCTGCATGTTTTAATGGTTCCAGAGTGGCTAAGGGAAGGAATTAGCGGAGTTAACTAATTAGGTTACCCATGCTCCGCTACACTGACCATTGGTAATCCCAACCAATGTTCATTGTTGTTTTCGTGGATTTTTTTATGATGATGGCTGTAAAGTAAAATTACTTGTTTTTTTTCTACAACTAGGTAACCAAGTCTTAAGACTGGCTGTTTTTAAGAGGCAGGCCAGGACTAGCCATTGGCTAAATCAGGCAAATGCCGGTGGGTAGTGATGACCATCAGCCTAGGCTGGCAGGGGAGATCCAAGCACCAGCTCTGCTGTGTACCATGACGGGCCAAAGGTGAGATCAAGGATCTCCCTCACAAGCCCACAGTCACTGAAATGTAGTGGCCAGCTGGGGACGGAGAGAGAGAACACCAGGGAGCTCTAGCCTTCAGATCCGCCAACGACTCTTCTTGCGAGGCAATGCATTGGCCAAATCTCGCAAGAGTGAACTCTAGCCTCAGGAGCTGCAGGTTCACTCACCACTTCCCCACCGGACCACCAGGTTTTACAAGCATAATCCCCCCTTCCTGATCAAAGGTTAGAATGGAGGGATATAAAGTATATTTTGAATAAAAAGTAAAAAAAAAAAAAAAAAAATAAAATATATATATATATATATATATAGTTTATTTTTTTAAACACACATATATACATACATATATACAATTATCAATAAAGGTGCACTCCTGCACTTAAAAAATGCGTAACTGGTTTATTGTGCAAAAAAACTGAGGATCGACATTTTGACCTATCCAGGTCTTTCTCAAGATCAGATCCTCACACACACTCCACCCTTCACACTGCACCAACATGCACACACTGGACCCTCCACACACAGACTGCACCCTTTGTGCACACACACATATTGCATCTCTCACACATACCACCACCCCCCCACACACACACACACTACTGCCCTCCCACATGCCACCCTTCGCACAGACTGCACCCTTCATACACACACTGCACCCTAGATACACTGCACCCCTCGCACACATGCTCTGAGCCCTTCACACACCTTTTGCATTCCTACACACACACACACACACACACACACTATAGTCCACACACACTATTTCCCCTGCACAACTCTGGACCTTCTACACACACACACACACACACACACACACACACCCTTTAGAACCCCTAGACACTCTGAATCCGCTACGAACACACACACACTCTAGATCTCCTATAAACACAATGAGACTTACACATAATATATCCCCTATAGGCACACACTGCATCACACACACACACACACTGCATTCCTGATATACACAACCTGGATCTCCAATGAACACAACAGATCCCCTGTTAACAAACACACACTACATTCCCTAAACACACAATTTTTACAACTACTTTACACACATACACTACAGTTCCTTTGCAAACATTAATCACTATCCCTATAGACACTATATCTCACTCTCTATAGTCCCTGGCTACACATCACACCACAAACAACACAATTGAAACATCTGCTTAAACAAAACTCCACAATCAGCTAACTATACACATCCACAATCCCAAAAACCGGGACAAATTCAGGGCCTTTTTCTCAAGGGAGAGCTCTTCAGCATGGCTCTGCATACGGACTGCTCTGGAAAAGCATTGAACCAACAAAAATGGTCACTGGTTATGATAAAACACCCCCTTTCTGGCCCTGCCTCCTTCTCAGTGGGCCGCTGTGATTCAAAAATGCCCGGTCCTTATAATAGTAGGTTTAGTTCAGGTCAGACTATTAATCAGTTGGCTATCTATATGGATCTTAAAGCATAGGTGGCAGACAGGGATTTTATGCAGTAATGCCAGGAGTGCTAGCTATCTCCTGCCACTACCATGGCTGGCATTTTTAATTGCGAGGCAACAATCCAACCTTTGAACCAAAACAAAACCTAGAATTTGTGCTTTTTGTTTGTTCCACTGTAATTTAAGGGTTTCTCTCTGAGTGTCCCAATACATATTACTTATTATTTCTTAAAGGACAAAAAGGGCTTTATTTTAATATCCTATATGTACATATAACACAGCATTAAATGTGAGCAAAACAATAAAAATGGGAAAAACTATTTTTACAAATCAAGTGCAACTAAAGAAAGAGAAATCAAAATAGATCCATGTATCCTAATTGTTAAATACCTTATATGTCTAGGACCCCCACAATCCTTTCTACCATCCTACCTTGCTTACAGAAAATCTAATCAAACACCTATCCTACGTTTAATCCATCTCTACCCCTAACCCTGAACCCGAACCCTGAACCTGCATCAACCCTAAGCCAGCATTAACCTTTACCATACAATAAATATGACACCAACGTTAGCCTACAATTGCTCTCCTGGCAAAAGCAGAGTGATTTCCCAGCTAAAATCACCATCTATTGTCAGTTTACTGAATCAGAGGGAAATCTCCCTCTCATGCATCAGCCTGATATACTGTCTGTGTCAATAACACTGTGATCAGTGCTGGGCAACTGCCAAAGCCCAGCACCAATTAAATTAGGAAGAGGGGATTGCAGTGAGTAACAGTCAGGGTTCTTCAGACTGAGAATCTCCATTTCTAGGCAGGCAGGCTCAGAATCACAATATTTATTTATTAATTTATAAAATATTTTACCAGGAAAGATACATTGAGATTTCTCTCATTTTCAAGTATGTCCTGGGTTCACAAAACATTGCATTGATACATTAGGGTACAATAAAATAAAAAAAAAACAATATTAACACAAAATATACAAAATTTAACATAGAACAGGTAGGAAATATATAATCAACCATGACACATGCATTCTGTTTTGAAGTATGTAGAGAGGGATCTCTTAAAGGACTTTAGGCTTGAGGAAGATTTTAAAATGTGCGGGAGGTCGTTCCACAATTGCGGTGCTCTGTAGGAGGAGGAGGATTGGGCTGCTTTCTTTTTGTATTGAGGTAGACTAAATAAAGTGCTAGTCCTGGATCGGAGGTTATAGGAGGTGGGAACAGCCGAGGAGCGTATTCTGCTCAGGTAGGGTAGGAGTTTCCCAGAAAAGCTCTAAAACACAAGGCTGGAAAGATGAAGGGTGCATCTGGATTCCAGCGACAGCCAGTTTAGTTAATTTAGCATGTCACAATGGTGTATCCTGTAATTACATTGTAGCACAACTCGGCAGAACGAGTTATACAATGTATTGAGTTTATTAATGTGGGATTGTGGTGCAGATGCATATATTACATCCCCATAATCAATGATTGGCAATCGCTCAGCCACAAGAATTTAAATGCCATTTAAAGGGCTTTATGCAGGGCTTACTTTGAGCACTGCATACAGCTCATCTGCCAGTCTGGGGCCACTAAATAGCTGACATAGGGAAGCCCCAGGTATCAATTGATACACGGGTCTCCCTGGCGTGAACAAGGATTTAACATGATGCAACTCCACATAGATCAAAACACATTTACTGTTATGCATCACCTACATATTTCAATTTGAACTTTGAAGGGTCCTTCTTGGGCATAAAAACCAGAAAAAGCATGCTTCCACAACTATCCCAGAGTTCCCAGCTTGACATTCAAATGAGCGCAGGCAGTCAGTGTTTCAGAGTTCAGCTTGCATTTCTGCAGATACCCTTAGCAATGGACACTAGTCTTAACATTTTAGACATCAAATGAGAAGAATCAGTGACAAGAAAGCAGCCATAGACTGCAGTTTCGACCATGTGGGTGTATATATATATATATATATATATATAGTGTTTCACAACCATAACTACCTGAGTATAATGGCCAACCATCTCATCTTGATCTATTGTTCCGTATCCATATTCAAAGAACTCCTTCTCATCATACCATGATTGTATTACAGAGTCCCAGTCAGTCTCATCGCTTGACATAAAGATGTTTTCACCACATTGAGCTCTAATTGGTCCTGGAATAGATATTCAATTAAATTGAATTTACATATGTAAATCAAATAAAGCCACATGTAATAAAATGTAATGCTCTCACACCCTGTGTAAAATATAACATAAGACAAAATGTGGCTACTTTTTCCATGCTGGAATATATTCAGTATTTTTCATGCAATGTATATATAATGCATTTAAGAATACGACCACTCCCAAATAATAAAATAAAAAGATAAATAGAAAGTCCCACATTTGAAGTTGCTGCAACAACAAACTCTCAGGCTTTAGATTTCAACATTTGGTGCTCCTTAGACAGGCAAGTGATCAGCAAAACAGTGAGCTGTAATAACGTTCCATGGTACTTTCCACACTGCTGAGTATATCACATAGTGTTCTGCATATCAGGGTTCTACAAAATTGGGTGTCCTCAGGGGTCAAGTCCTGGGGAAAAAAGTGTGGGAACTCACCGAAGATCACTCCCCTCACCCTAAAATAAAGAAAAAATTACACTCCTATGCATATAGTGCAGTGCAGGGTGTGTATAATGAATGTAGTGTGTTTGTAGTGAGTGCAGAGTGTGTATAATGAATGTAGTGTGTATATTGAACGTAGTGTGTTTGTAGTGAGTGCAGTGTGTATAATAGATGTAGTGTGTTAATGCAGAATGTATATAATGAATGTAGTGTTTGTAGTGAGTATAGAGTGTGTATAGTGAATGTAATGTGTTTGTAGTAAGTGAAGAGTGTGTGTTTGTAGTAAATGCAGATTATGTATATTGTATGTAGTGAGAGCAGTGTGTATAATGAATGCAGTGTGTTTATACAGTGAGTGCAGAGTGTATATAATGAATGTAGTGTTTGTAGTGAGTGCAGAGTGTCTATAGTGAATGTAATGTGTTTGTAGTAAGTGAAGAGTGTGTATAATGAATGTTGTGTGTTTGTAGTAAGTGCAGATTATGTATATTGTATGTAGTGAGTGCAGAGTGTGTATAATGAATGTAGTGTATGTGTAGTGAGTGCAGAGTGTGAATAATAAATGCAGTGTGTGGTGAGTGCAGTGTATATAATGACTGCTGAGTAAGTATAGTGAATGTAGTGTGTTTGTAGTAAGTGCAGATTGTGTATAGTGAATGTAGTGAGTGCAGTGTGTGTATAATGAATATAGTGTGTGTGTGTTGTATGATGTGTGTGTGTATGTTGGATGGTGTGTGTGTGTGTGTGTGTGTGTTGGGGGGGAAGCATTTTTTTCAATTTGTGTATTTATATTTATTTTTTTTCCCCTCCCTGCTTCTAACCTTGTCAGGGAAGGGGGAGATTGCCTGGTGGTCCGGTGAAGGGAGTCAGCTGCTGCACATGGGGGCCCAGCACACTCTGTGTTCCGTCTCCAGCTCTAACTCTTGCGACACTCGCCTGCGTGCTGTGTGGAGTGTTGCCATGGCAGATGTGAGCTGCAGCTGGAGAGGGAACACAGAGTGTGCTGAGCCCCAGTGTGCTGGTAACAGGGCAGGTCCTGCATGACTACTAGCGGGAACAGCATTCCTGCTTTGGAAAAAGTGCAGGAACGCTGTTCCCATGCGTTTCTGCAGGACTCGAGCCCTGGGTGTCCTGATAACGTAGCTAATTACATATATATTAGTTTGTTATTACCAGGAGTGCCCCTTTAAATTAAGAGCATCCAACATACTGTTTCTCATGTAGTAACTATTTCATCTACTTTATTTTTGCCACAATGTCGCATGAAAGAAACAAAAAACTTGGATGCACAATAGTTTAAAAAAACAAACACCTTTTGTTGCCATTGAAAAATCATACAGACAACTAGTGCATGGTCCAAAGGAGTCAAGTCCAAAGTATTTTCGACACAAAGTGAAACTAATATCTAGCAAAAAAAGTTATGAATCTCAATTACCCCATATAAAACACTAGGGGTCACTGTCACTAAATGCTTCAACCATGTATCCCATATGTACATACTAAATCCATAGTTCCCAAATTAAATAATATATTAATAATATAAATTATTTTGATGTAGTACCCCAAATTGTCCTTTGTGCGTTCCAGCTTTCAGATTGTATGAAATGACAGGGGTCCATCATAATACAGCATTGTGTAATATAGGGGCAGAAAATAATGACGAAGGAAAAAATAAAAAATAAAAAAATAAAAAAATTAAAAAAAAATTATCCCTACACTAGCCCCGGACAAAAGGCTAAAGACACCAAAAGGTATCCCTATTTATTTAACAACCATCAAGGACATTGCAGAAGTCATATATACACAATATAAGGAAAGAAACAGTCAACGCAAATGGAGTCCATTTCACCCGATACACCCGGATTTTTAGAAATGCCAGGACTTCTGCAATATCCTTCATGTCAGGCAAATAAATAATGATATATTTTGGTATCTATCTATATATTTTACCCCAAAAAAGTCTAAATAAAACAGTTTTTTAAATAAATATTTTGCCTACCTTTCCCATTTGTCCTTCCTGATAGAAATCATTGTGCACCTTTTATTTGGATTGTCAGTTAGGTGACCCCATACTTACTATTTTGCATCTTTCTGTTGTTTTCAATATTGGGTGTTATTAATACTTTACAGCAGCAATTTTTGTCAGGTGTATTTGAAAGACAATAATTGTTGCAAAATAATGAGCAATGGTAAGATAACTGATAATTCATAGAGATGGATGTTGGAAAAATGGAGTGTAAAAGTAGAAATTCTGTTTCTTTAAAAATGTCAGTATAGATAAATTAAAAAAACCAAAAAACGAGATGTATATTATAACAAGAAGATGATATTAGAATATTAAAACATGGGGGCAGAACTAACCGTCAACCTGACTAGACACAAGACACCTGAGCTCCGGTGAAAACTTGAGTATACTACACTACAGAATTCCATCTGGTCATATTTCAGCACACTGAAGGCTGTTACACACCTCGGTACACCATGGGGAAGCACTCCAAAAAGACCCTAAGGTTAAGTTAGGGACACTCCCACAGCATCAGCCAGATACTCTCCCAGCCCTGCAGACTTACTGTCAGACTCAAAATGCACTATCGACCTTTAGAGGACAAAGATCTGGGATTCGTGGAGACTCCGCATCAGCTATGTAGGAATACTACTCTACAAATCTACTTCCCTAATACTTCCCTTATCTTTTGTGTTACTTTACCCCACTCCCTCTAGCATGTAAGCTCACTGAGCAAGGCCCTCAACCCCTCTGTATCTGTGTGTCCAACTTGTCTGGTGATAATTACATGTTTGTTAGTCCACCCATTGTAAAGTGCTATGGAATTTGTTGGCGCTATATAAATATAATAATAGAGATTTGCATCAAAGGCAGAATGAACCCCCACTAGCTGCAACATTTCTCTAATATGGTGTTGGATCTTAAGGCCTTCTTCACCTTGAAATTGGCAATACTGAAGGAACATCTGCACACACTGTCTGGTCGAATACAGGCTACAGAGGAAGATGTCCATGGCCTATGACTCAAACTACTACTACTGGGGCTCACCATATGTGCACAGTTGAGCAATAAGGTTGAGAAACTGAAGCACACTGCAAGACAATGCAATCTGAAGGTGAGGGGTATCCCTGACACCATAGACACTGCTAAACTAGAGGAATTTATTAGGAGACTGTTCTCCACTACCACAATGCCCAAACAGGCTAAGGGTCTGTCTTTAGACATACCTGGGCAAGCCCGCAAAAAAAACCTGCACCTAACAATGTCATAATGTGCTTCAAAACACGAAACAGCAAGGAGGGTTTCCTATGAGTTCGAGGACAAACTCCCTCATCTTTGAGGAACAATCACTGAGTTTCTTCCCCAACCAAAGACTGCAGAAGCAACAATGGTGAGCCTCCATCAAAGGGTTGACCTCCCAACTACGAGCTGCAGATATTTCATATAATTGAGAGTACCCAAGGGCTTTTATTACTGAAAACAATGGCCTTCATTACCAGCTGATATCACGGTTGGAGGTTGCTATGTTCCTGCAACCATTGGGACATGCTTCGTGCTCAAGCAATACCAGGCCTGCTAATCAGTGGCACATTATCAACAGTGCAGTCTTCATCAATTAGGATCTATGGCTCCAGGCTGACCTACTATTGCAGTTTGCATTGTCCCAATCAGGAGCATGAAGATTTGCTGCAACACATGTTCCTTGTGTATATGCTTTTCGCAATTTCATTTTCTGTTTATTTTCTGTTCAATGTTTATTTTCTTTATTGGTATATTATATAAACACAGGGGGGCTCTAGAATGCTACTTGTTGTCCCCCTCATATATGCCTGATCTGATGTACACATTGGAAGTGCCTTGTAGACCCCCCTAGACCTCCGGGGTTATGGAGCTTTCCATCTTGCAGTACATTCTCCATGCCTATGGCCTTTTAAGGTACACATGGTAATGCACAAATCTCTATGGTTATCCATAGAGCCAATACATACACTGGAGTTTGTTGCCATTCATGGTAGAGTAATTTTCAGTTTGTTTACTTTGTGTTTTTCACACTCCTAGTGAGCATTGGTATAGCAGAAGCAAACATAATTTTTTCTATTTTTTTGTAATCCGCTAAGAGGCACAGGAACAGAATTATGAACATTTTTAATATATATAATCAAATGGGCTTAATCCCTTGTGATTAATTAGAATGTGAGTATAAGAAAAGATACATTATGGTTGATCTATTTTTTAATATAACAATTCCTTTTAACTGATGAAGGTATAAAATCCTATCATCTTCCTCCGAGTATCCTTTGACTGATGTACTAGTGCTTTCAAAAAAGAATATTAACTTTTTTTAAATATTTTTTTTGTTTTTCCATTTCCTAGTGCTTCCTCCCAAGGGTAAATCAGGTACCTATTCTATGCAGTATACACTGGTTAATGCTGAATTATTTACACTAATGGATTATATATTATTAGTACTCAAATATAATACTTAACTCTTGAACTAGTGTTAAACTAAATGTTCATTTGATTTATGTTATAAAAAAGACAGACTGTTCCTTTAAAAATAGGTAATAGGAAAATTGTGTTTAATGTATATAGCATATACTTACTTGTTATTTTTCGTTGTGATGGAAAACTGTGAAGAAATGAACATAACCTAGCAACATTGTAAGCATTCCTTTGTGCTTCCGTGTTCCATTCCTAGAAAAAAAATGTACGTTATACAAATACATTAGAATTTTGTTGTCAGTATTCTGAAAGCGATGCTATGACAATGTTTTAAATCTTTAGGACAGACAGATTACATAGGACAGACAGGACAGACGGACAGCAAATAAGAAAGCTTTGCTTTACAAGTTAAACAGAACATTAAGTAATGACATCAATTGTTCATAATACTGTGTTGACCAGTCTTGTAAAATTACAAGAGATATTTAAGGAACATGTTTTATTATGCTAATTGTAAAATATTCAGAGAAAAACCTATGGTGCTTGCTTCCTTACCATTTTTAGCATGTCACTTGCAGGAGGATTAACTTGTTGCCTTAAACGATTGTGAGTGTTAACAATACTCTCTTGAATTTTCGGATTTGAGGTTGCCACATTTCGAAGCTGTAAACACAAACATAATTGTTAATTCAACTAATGTCAAAACAGATCATCACTGATAGGGCACCCTATCTTTTTGACTTACCTATGCGTGGGCAAACAAAAAGTATAATAACTGTTTAACAGATACACTAACCAGTTTATACACTTGTGGGCAATCACTATAGAAGTCAAATATAATGTCTGATTGTTTTATATTTTTTACTTTTCAGTTAAATGCTTCAGTTTTTAATAAAAAAAAATATGTAATTTGGTTATAATTCAGTCTACGTTGCCCAGCTACTCTTTAAGCAATTTGGATGGTTGATCAAACTTGTTAATAGATTTCTAAAATGCCTGTTAATAATAACTCAATCACTCTTGATATAATGTTTTGACAATAAACAGTTATTTATAATTAATAAATGAGGAAATTGTTAAAAATATGGCCTTTGTCACACAAGCTTTCTAGCTGATTGTCATTATTTAAAATCATCCATACAGTAGCTCTGATCCTATCTTGAATGTATTTGTTTTTAAATGGCATAATATTAGGTATTATGTCTTTTTGATGTTTTTTTCTTTCCCCACATCAATTCTTAGGCTTTATATTATATTTAGCTAGACTTGAAGTGATTAATTTTTAAAGCTGCATTGCCATCTAGTGGTTATTTGTATATTTTACACGGTAAAACAATACTAGACTTCTAGATTCGTTTTGGACTGAACAGCAATTCTGCTGGATTTGGGCTTATCTGATGATCAGAAGAAGATAACAATTTTACATTTCCACGGGGCAGAATTTCAGGTGAATCGACTTGCGCTATCCCCAAAATGTTCAGTTCAGTTCTTGATTCTGAGTGTGTTCCTTCACCAGGAAAAAAGGAATGTTTTATTTTATTATTTTTTTTTTGGGGGGGGGGGAAGGGTTAATAAGCAGTTTAGTTTCTCATAATAATCTTCCCGTCATGTGGGTTGTAAAAAATAAATACAAAATAAATGGATGGTTAGGGCACAGCTGGAAAAAAGAATGAGCAATACAACAATGATTCTAGATGCTTTTACACTAGCTACTGAGGGAGACAGTTTGGCAGTGTTACAGTATATTGCTGTAAAGATAAAAAATAAAAATACCAACCGGGGTAGAAAAATATAAAAGAAAAATGTGTTAAGGAATGAAAATATCTGGAATACAAAAAGCAATGATTCAAGAGATGCTTCTCCCTCTAAACAAGAAGGGTGACTAACTGAAAAGCAATCAGAAAAATATACAGAACAAGATAATGGGGGCAGCACAGAATTCTATGTCAAATATTACAATGGTAGAAGATACATTTATCGCGTAAAGATCCATAGAGAGTAGCAAATAATTTAACACAAATGAGCACAAAGTGCATGAATACATAAATACTTGATAAACCACAAATGCAATAAACATTAGATAAAAAAAACAATGTGCGCAATAAAATAAAAATAAAGAAAAAAATATAATAATGATGGCTAAAAATCCCAATAGGGGACAAATGAGCAAAAAATATGTGACTATATAAAGGAAAATGTATTCATACTTATCATAATTTTCTTTTTCTGGCTATTATTCATGGCAGCATATACATATGTGTTAGCGCCTCCCTTTACAGCCGATAGGACAGGAATAAAACAAATGCCTTTAAAAGGAGTATCCTTGCATAGGTTCCTCAATCAGTAGCAAGCTCCTACAGAAGAAGTAAAACCAACACTGGGTGGGTAGTATATGCTGCCATGAACAATAGCTAGGAAAAGAAAATTATGGTTAGTATGAATAAATGTTCCTCTTTCCTGGCTAATCATGGCAGCATATACATAGGGGAATACCCAGGCTTACCAGGGAGGGACAGAAACATACATAACTGCCAATCAAATAATCAGAACAATTTAACATAGATTAGAAGATTTAACCCCTTAAGGACACATGACATGTCTGACATGTCATGATTCCCTTTTATTCTAGAAGTTTGGTCCTTAAGGGGTTAAGGACATGACATTCAAATTGCACCTCATTGATTGCTTTATTGTTCAGGATGTAATGCTGGACAAATGAGTTCGAATGGGTCCAAATGCCAACTTACAAAATTTCAACATAGACCATTGTCATGGAAGCCTACAATGCTGAAACTGCGTGAGTGGAGAGAGAAATCCTTTGGTACAGGTAGAGGACGGATTCATAAGCTTTCACCTTGGGCAGGATCTCTGGTGCTAAATGCAAGATAACCATATCCTGTTGGAAATTAGTGAATGGAGGTACACAGGATCAAGCCTGGAGTTCACACATTCACCAGCCACATCATGGAAGCTCCTGCTAGAGGTTCAAATTATGGTTTAGTCAGAGCCTGTAAGACCAGTGGTAGGTCACATATTGGCTTCAACACCCTCAGTGAAGGCTTGAGTTTAATCGCTGCTTACATGAAGCAAAGCACCAGGGGCTCCAATACTCAATGGGTATCCTCTGGTATAGGTAGAGAATAGCATTGATAAATTCACCTTAGGCAGGTGTAATGGATTCATCCGCACATAGACATGTTTATAATGGTAATTACTGTCCTGACAGGAATAGTTGTGCCCATCTGCAACCATGCGCCCGGATACCTGATAAACCCAGCATGTCTAGGGACGCCAGCTGCTGGGGATCTGTGCCACTTTATAGCCCCATGACCGTCCACGCTGTCAACGTGCCTGTGACGTCACCCGCGCGCATGATTTGGGGTCAAAGGTCGATTATAACCAATCGGAAAAACAGGAGGGCTATTTAAACAAATTTTTACATTCTCTTATTGCCCTGTTATGGTTTCTGCCTGATGGTAATCCGAGAGTGCATTCCTGATCTTAATATTTTGGTATTTGACTTTGGCTTCGTTCTGACTTCCCTAATTTCTGGTATCCTTGACTGTAGGCTTTTTCTCATCATTGTGTCTGATTCTGTATCCCTGACCTCGTCAAGTATTCTGACTACTCTTGGATTAGTTAAGTCCGGCCATCCTAAGGTCCAGTTAGACATTATCCTTAGTCCTAGGTGTGATACAATTCTGCGTGCTGGATCAATTAGTAATCCTGACAGCAGGATCTCTGGTGCTAAATGAAAGACAACCATATCCTGTTGAAAATTAGTGAATTGAGGTACACAGGATCATCACACATTCACCTTGCTGAGGTACCAGCCACCAGCAAAAGCACTTTCTGTGCTAACGCCATGGAAACTCATGCTATAGGTTTTAATTATGGTTTAGTCAGAGCCTGTAAGACCAGAGTTTGGTCACATATTGGTTTCAACACCCTCAGTGGAGGCTTGAATTTAATTGCTTTTTACATGAAGCAAAGTACCAGGGGTTCAAATGCTCAATGGGTACCCATAAATGTGGAAAGTGCCAATCTGTGCTCCCCTGTGTGTTTTAACTCATAGGGATTTAGAGTCTTTGTGGCCTTCCACTGTCTCCTTTTGAATTTCCTTTAGGAATGTTGAAGCATGAGCATTCTGGTCCTAACAATGAGAAGTGGATCTGGTAGTTCCGAGAAGTGGCCATCAGATCTACATAGGGTATCAGCCAAATCTGAGTCAACCCTGAGGATACGTTGGGACAAAGTGCCATTCCATCATGTCCACTGTTACTCGGCTCAGGTAACAGCCATTGTTTTCTGAGTCCCTGGTTGTTCTCCTGTGCCCTGATCATGATGGGCTGTAATTCCCTCACCAATAACCCACCTTGACAATTGATATAGGATACATTTGCATTGATATTTGAGCAAATTTGGACCACTTGTTCAACAGCAACCTTGTGAAGTGAAGAAGAGTCCTGAAAATAACTCGTAGCATAAAATTGGATGGAAATATTGTTCCTTCCCTTATCCACAGATCTTGTATAACATGGTCCAGACAATGTGTATCAAATCATTAAAAACTGGAATCCGAGCTTATAATTGCCCAATGAGATTCCTTTCACTGGAAACCCAGAGATATATTCTCTCTTTTCATCTACCGGGTGTAACTCCACTGATGGTGACATCGTCAGTGTCTGGTTCCATTTCATCTTTCTCTTGTTGAACTAAGATAGGAAGGACCTTTGCGGAATCCTGAGATGTCATTGGGCACATCTGTCAAGTCTGATGGTGGAATCCTAGTAGCTGCATATACTTTCTTGCTGTTACGAAGTGAAAATGAAGAAACTGGAAGAGAAAACTTCCATAATCGGTGGAACTATTCCTGAGATAGGGGAAAAAGCAGAGTATAGAATACTCCACCCAAAAATGTCATCCTTTGAGCTGATGTGAGACTGCTATTCATCAAGCAGCCAAACTTCAGGCATTCTGAAATAACCAACCCTCTGTTTGCCTACTTTCTGTGGGTCTGAGGCTACCAGAAGTAGATCATCCAGGTAATGGAATGAGGTGGTGTTCTGGACTCTCAATATCACTATAAGCACACGGAGGTACTTGGGGCTACAGTGAGGCCAAATAGTAGAGCAGTCAATTGGATGTTCTCTTATGAGATAATGCTGAACATCTAGGGCATTGGAAAGATAGTAAGCATCCTAGAAATATATAGAGATAAGGAAATTGTCCTTCCAAATTGCTGGAGATATGGATCTGATTGACTCCATCTTGAAGGCTCTGTCATTTAGCCTATTGTTGGCCCTTCTTAAGTCCAATATAGGCTTCCATGTGCCTTTACTTTTAGCACCAGAAGAGAGGCGGACATTGTCCCAAGAACCACTCTTGTTAAGGTACCTAAGAAATCATATCTTCATCCAGAAGATTTCATACATATTCCTTCAGATTCATCTGTCTGAATTCTCTTTTCAGAATAGAGACTCCTGTGTCTGACGAAAAAACTCCAATCAATATCAATCTGGACTATGGATACCACCTAAGTCTCCAGAATGTGACAAGCCCAGGTATATTCGATCCAATAAAATAAGGCTCCTAGTACTGGAGGTCAGACACAAGTTTATTGTTGAATAGCAAAATTACTGCTTCGTAGCTCTGTTAGAACCTTGAAAGGCAGGTTTACCAACTGCCACGAGTTACCTCTGGAGTATATCCTGCAGGGTCAGTAACTATGTCTCTCAGAAATTCTGATCACTGGAGGTTCTCCTGTCTGACCCTGAGGAGCCTGGGTTCTTGGATCTTCAGTCCTCAGGTACAAATACCTTACAGCCCTCAGCTGCCTTTTTAATGGATTCATCCAAAGCTTTCCCAAACAGCAGCTCCACTTCAAATAGAATGGCATAGAGGGCAGACTTGGAGGATGAGTCATCATTCCATAAGCAGAACCATAATGCTTTCCAAGCTGCTATAGATAAAGCCATTTGTTAGAGAGTATCCTAGTTACATCTAGGGAAGCTTCTGTGATGTAGTAATGCATCTTCAATCTTGGCTCTTAATATCTCTCTCCACAGTAGCACTTAGAGCTATAATCACACTTTCTATGGTTCTAGAAACAGCAGAGAAACCTACTGCTGGATGATAACCTGCATCTGCAGGCGTATAAATATAGAGAGGTCTGCTTCCATTGATCCATAGGCTTTAGTAAAAAGTAGCAGAGTTATCAAGCGGTAGCATCGTCCCACAGGCTACCCTGGAATCGGTGCATCCACCTTAGATTGTGTAGTCCAGGGGGTGGAAGTACCTTCCTCCACAGGGTAAAGTTTGGCCTCTTTTCTTACCTCCAAGGCCTTTGAAATACCTTGGAACTTCCTTGTAAGTCATGCCCGCCTGTCATGTGGCTGCACAGGTATAGGTGATGCAGTGCATAACTGATTTCCTTCCACTGCTTTCCCATCAGAACCAAAATATGGTGTAGATTCTGAAAATACCATGCAACTTCCTTTGTAAGCTCTGCCAATATGTCCCGTGGCTGCGCAGATATATGAGAAGCTGAAGAGGTTACCTTCTGAAGACAGGAAATGCATAACGGTCTTCCTACCACTTCATTTCCATCACAATCAGAACCCGTTTGTATATTTAGACATAAAATAAACAAACAAACAAAAAAAAATTACATGTGGCGAAGTGTTAAAGTACAAAAGGGCATGGTCAAATTCAACAACCAAGAAAACAGTCAAACAGATTTAAAAAACTGTCTAAAAAAGCACTTACCCATGTCTGGGAATTTGCAAATACTTTCCAAATAAGTTTGGGATGTTTACAGTAAATTTCCCTCCATTTTAGGAACTCTGGCAATTGCCCTTATCCAAGATGTCTGCCGCAATCTGTATTACCATAATGTAAGTCATTGGTATTAAGCCCTTAAAGCACAAACTGTACATGTGCAGTCTTCCAAGTGCATTTGCTGTCTAGAGACCGGGGAGAGAGCTTGGTCTGCAGCATACATAACATGGTCCCTGAACACCCAGGGAATCGGGAATAAATCTCCGGGACCGAGGGGAAGCATAAGAATTAAAGTAAAAGTGCTTGCAAGGTGATAAAAAGGCAACAAGGTGCAAAAATCACCAAACTTAAAGGCCTCACAGTTTAATAGGCAGTAAAAGCACAGCTGCATAATGCACAACAGTTTAAAAGTACCATAGGATAAACGCACCACAGTATAAAAAGCCTCACAGTATGAAATAAGTACATAAGACATAATGCACCACAGTTTAAAGACATCACAGTTTAAAGTACCATAGTATAAACACACCACAGTATAGAGGCACCATAATATAAAGTCACCCTAAAATAGTAAAAATAAATAAAGTAATGAATACAGTATACTGTATTGCCATTTGGGTTGCATGGTGCACCTGCTACATTCCAACGAATGATGGACAGAGTTCTTAAACCCCATGTTCGTTATGCTGCAGCGTATTTGGATGATGTTGTTATCCACAGCGTAGACTGGAAATCCCACCTCCCCAAAGTTCAAGCAGTGCTTGATGCTATTCACTCAGCAGGCTTAACTGCCAATCCTTCAAAGTGTACGATTGGCTTGGAGGAAGCGAAGTACTTGGGGTATTCAATTGGGAGAGGATTGGTTAGACCACAGACTGCCAAAGTGGAAGCCATCCAAAAATGGCCACAGCCACTTACACAAAAACAAGTAAGGGCATTTTTAGGCTTAACTGGTTACTATAGGAGATTAATTCCAAATTTTGCTACTATTGCTGCACCTCTAACAGACCTCACTAAAGCAAAGTCGTCTGTTATAGTTAAATGGTGCCCAGAAGCTGAAATAGCTTTTAATGATCTAAAGGAAGCTATCTGAAGCCAACCTGTCTGTTACCCCTGCTTTTTCTAGAGATTTTATAGTACAGACCGATGCTTCTGAAGTGGGATTAGGGGCAGTCCTTTCACAGGAATACCTGGGTAAAGAACACCCTGTCTTTTTTATTTATTTATTTTTAAGCAGGAAGTTGAACCCACATGAGAAGAACTCAACAATGGAGTAGAAGGAATGTCTTGCCATTAAGTGGGCATTAGACTCTTAAGTACTGTCTATTGGGGAGAAAGTTCAGATTGGTGACGGACCATGCACCACTTACGTGGATGTGTCAGAACAAAGAGAATAACTCCAGGGTTACCAGGTGGTTCCTGAGTTTACAGTCTTAATTTTACGGTTGAACACAGGGCAGGTCTAAAGCAAGGAAATGCTGATGGGCTTTCCAAGATACACTCGCTGTTGTCCATGGTCGCTCAAACCCATAGGTATGAGCTGGGGGGCGGATATGTGAGAGAAAATGTGGTTTGGTAGTTGATGGCATATACATTAGGCCTGATTTACTGAACAGCAGCCTGAGGTTTGAGAGTTAAATGTCCCAGGGAGAGATGTTAGGTTTGCAAGATGCATTACTGGTACTCTGCAAACCACGGTACGGGTCCCTGGGGCGGAGCACTTGGAGAGCAGGATGGGCCAGTGCTCCAATAGCACCAGCTGCTAAGTAACAGTCGGACCAGAACTTTTATTTTGCTTAGTAATTTCACTTATGTCTAATTGATCACCTGTATCTGATCAATTAGCTAGCAGGCTTTTAAAAAGAAGGGATCAGCATGCTGCAGAGTGAGGAGGAAAAGCCAGAGGAAGGGTGGCTTGCAGTTATACGTTTTGCAAATTGGCAAGTGGGAAAGCCACCCAATTCCAGATAGGGATTTGCTGTGTATAGTAAGTGCTCAAGCAGGAGCAAGGAATTTTTTGTTTATTTTTCATTTTTGAAACACGTGTGTGTATATTATATATATATATATATATATATATATATATATATATATATTCTCACTGAAAAAACTGAGCTGGATGTGTCCTGAACTTTCATTACTCTAGAAGGCTGTGGTTATAAGATCTGTGACAAAATCTTACCTGGAAAAGAGGTGGTGTGTGTGTGTGTATAGTGTAGATTGCATAAGCAGTATTACATAAATACAGTGGTACCTCGGGTTTACAAATTTAATGCTTTCTCCAGGACATTTTGTACTGCAAAAAATGTGTAAACCGAAACGGTTTCCTCTATGGTTTCACATAGTAAGGCATTGAAAACCAATTAATCCGTTCCGGATGTCTTAAAAAAGTAAAAATTAGCTGGCATGGAAACCAACCCACAATTCAGAACACACAGTAAAAGGCATACAAACTACAAAGCTCAGCTTTGAGTTTGAGAAATGCACCAAAAAAAGTTCCAAAAAGTCTTGCTACCCACAGACTCCAACATGCACAGGGGCGGCGCTAGAAACCTCCCAGACGCAATGCTTCGTATTGTGAAAAAAAAATTGAAAACTGAGGCATGATTTTCATTTGTAAACCAAAAATTGTTAACCGAGGCATTTGTAAACCGATGTACGTGTGTGTGTGTGTATATATAGCAGCACCCCCATTTATGCATGTTAAGGTGAGTGCAGCCAACCCCCTCTTGTTTTATATATATTTGGGAGTCTAGCCAACTCCTTGGTTTTTCACCCCTCCCTGTCACAGGTGCCTCATCCCAGGGCCCTATTTAGCCTTGTACTGCAGAGAGCCCCAGATGGAATTTCTTTCCCCAAGTAGGTTAATCTCATAAGAGCAGACATTAGGCTGTTAGTGTAGGACCTGCCAAAGATGGGGTACATTGACGTTGTGGCAGGCTTATGCACTGTATGATCATATAATGTAACTAAACCCCCATTATTTTTGCCTAGATTAGGTGTTTTTAAAAAAACAAATAAAATCTTTCAACATTGAAGTTGCTGTTTAGTGGATAGGTGAGTGCGCTGGATCTTGTGTATTGTATTATTTGGCCCCCATCAGCACCCCCATTTATGCATGTTAAGGTGAGTGCAGCCAACCCCCTCTTGTTTTATATATATTTGGGAGTCTAGCCAACTCCTTGGTTTTGCACCCCTCCCTGTCACAGGTGCCTCATCCCAGGGCCCTATTTAGCCTTGTACTGCAGAGAGCCCCAGATGGAATTTCTTTCCCCAAGTAGGTTAATCTCATAAGAGCAGACATTAGGCTGTTAGTGTAGGACCTGCCAAAGATGGGGTACATTGACGTTGTGGCAGGCTTATGTACTGTATGATCATATAATGTAACTAAACCCCCATTATTTTTGCCTAGATTAGGTGTTTTAAAAAAAACAAATAAAATCTTTCAACATTGAAGTTGCTGTTTAGTGGATAGGTGAGTGCGCTGGATCTTGTGTATTGTATTATTTGGCCCCCAGCAGCACCCCCATTTATGCATGTTAAGGTGAGTGCAGCCAACCCCCTCTTGTTTTATGTTTTATATTTATATATATATATGAAACCAAAGATTAGGCAGAAAGAGGCTAAGCAAGTTATAAGAGCTTCCAAATCACACACAGAAGAGAAAATAAGTCAGTTAAAAAAAGGTACAAAACGTTTTTTAGATACATAAATGAGAAAAGGAAGGTAAAACAAGGATTAGTTAGATTAAAAACGAAAGAAGGAAAGAATGTAGAAGAGGATAAAGGTTTAGCTGACTCAATTAATATTTTTGTTCAGTATTTACAGATGAAAATAAAGGAAATGGGCCTCAGTTAGGAAAAAGGACGAACAAGTCATTTGTTAAATGTGAGTTTACAGAGGAAGAGGTTCAATTTTGGGCAGACTAGATGGGCTGAATGATTCTTATCTGCCGTCACATTCTATGTTTCTAATTTCAGCTGTCAAAAGTAAAGACGAATAAGTCAATGGATAACAAGTATAAATATATGATGAAAGGTAACTGAGAATGAGATGGATAAAAATCTTCAAAAAGGAAAAGGGCTGCATCTCATACAGAAGAGCGACTGAATTGTTAGTATAAAAAAATGGTATGTGAGCGCTCCAAAATATTAAATCATGACCACTAAAACACTGTACACCAAAATAGCAGCTGTAAAGAAAAAATATCTTATATAGATCTGATAACAGCTCTGGGATAATATGACTGAGTTCTAACCATAAATATATCAAATATAAAGTATACAAAACATCATTTATTAAACATATAAAAACAATAACATCTAAATCAGTGTTGCTACAAATAAATGTATCACATAAATAAAAAGCACAAAGTGTCCAGAACAGAAGTCCAAGGAGTTAACAGTGTGGGCCCCCTACACTGGTGAAGAATATATGGCCACTGGAACTGGAGATGTGCACATGAGAAAATATATAAAAAGATAATAAATAAAATAATTCCCAGACACATACACTAATCCTGGAGGAAGGAGCTCATAAACCTGCCAAACCACCGGGTCTAGGCTTAGGGAGTTGCAATAAGAAATATCCCAGAGTTGAAAAAACTCTGGGGTTAGCAAGATCAACTTACCCTATCCGCCCGACATTTGGGTGAGGTGAGGGGAGCACGCCGACTCCTAACCACGAGATAGGCAGTGTGTGTAGATCCAATCACGGCAGCTGCCGAAAATCACTCCCAGACCGTAAATGAAACCGGGTTGGAGATACAGCTAGAATGATTGGTAGTGGATCGTATATGCGTTTCGTCCTCAATGGAGGATTTTCTCAAGACAAAGATCCGCTTTCCACAAACCGGGTATATATACCCTCCTTGAAGTAAAGTGGTCATGATAGATCAATTTGGAACCTCGATTAAGAATAAATTCACATGGGGCAAATAAGCACAAAATACAATAAATGTAATATTCTAAAATAAACCAGTACCATCGGATCGGGGATATACCCTCTTCCCTCACTAGATAATGTTTGAAGAAAATAGAATTAGACAAAAATAAAGTTCACAATGTTAAGTAAAAATTACATGGACTTAAAAAAGATAACTCAAAAAATGTTGAGGAAGGATTCTTTGTATATGTATAAGTGAAATCACCCACTCTTAATACATGAATAACCCTCAGACCAGCGGGGAGTCGGTATATGGGAAGGAGGCTTGTATTATACATAAATCCTATACATACAGAAATATCATAAAAATAATTTTATTCTCACATTAAATCAATTGTAGGGTGTTAGTAAAAAATGCATCTAGTGTAACAAACACTAATTAACATTAGTCTGGGCAACAATATGAGCATAGAATTCAAAAGAGATCTCATAATAATTAGCACAAAGGGATTAAATAAAAAAGATGTATATGCACATACTTCTCTATATTATATAGCTAATCACAGAGAATGATAGAGATGCATATCCCAAAGGGAATAAAACCACCCTGTGGACTTTAGATATTATGCTCCAATTCTTCATTTAACCCATAAGGGTTAAGTGTGTTGAGCTGGAAAATCCACCTGGTTTCTGCTCTGGAATATGTTCAATGCCCATCACTGATACCAGGGCCGTCTTTAATATTGATTGGGCCCTGGGCAAGCATTTGCTTGGGCCCCCTGGATCCACTCCCTAGCATGCAATCACGCCTCCACCCCAACGCAGTGGGCGAACTAAAGTAGAAAGAGCCCTGGTGCAAGAATTTCATTTGGACCCCCAATTGCAAGGTTGGAAAGAAGGTAGAACCCTATCTGTCGTGCAACTCCAACAATGCATTGACAGCCGTGGCTCTACCAATTTCCCATGCTTGCAGGGTTGTATTTAGCACTGTGTTTGTGTGTTTGAATGTAAGCATGTTTTTGTATGGAGTATGTTTGTGTGAATGTGTTTGTATGTGGTGTTAGAGTTTGAATGCAAGTGTACATTTAAGTGTAGTGCTGGTTTTTGAATGTAGGGGTTTGTTTATATATAATTCTGTTGTTTAACACAGAGGTGTGTTTGTATGAAGTGTTGACTTTCAATGCAGGAGTGTGTTTGTATGTAATGTTGAAGTTTGAATGGAAGGGTGTATTTGTATTTATTGTTTGTGCTCAGACACCGGTAGACATGCTGACACACAAGCAGATACACACACTGACTACATACATATACGCACACAGATAAACACACAGACACATACAGATACACAGACAGATAAACAGACATACTGACACACATAAATACATACAATGATAGACATACTGAAAGACACACTGACACAAACGGTCTCACAGGCACATATGATGACAAACATACTGACACACACAGGCACAAACACTGATAGACATACTGACAAACACACACACAAACAGGCACATATACAGACATACTAACACACACACAGTATCTCTATCAGCGTATGTGGCTGTGTGTGTGTCAGTATGTCTGTATATGTGCCTGTGTGTGTGTGTGTCAGGATAGCTATCAGTATAAGTGTGTGTTTGTGTGTGTCAGTATGTCTGTATATGCGCATGTGTGTGTGTGTCAGTATGTCTATCAGTGTATGTTTGTCATTGTATGTGCCTGTGTGTGTCAGTATGTCTATTAGTGTGCCTGTATCAGTATGTATATCAGTGTATGTGCCTGACACACACACACACATACACTGGAAGACATACTGACACACACAGAGACATACTGACACACAGATACATACACTGATAGATATGCTGACACACACACACACACACATACACACTAATAGGCATACTGACACACAAACAGGCACACACACTGACAGACATACTGACACACACAGATACATACACTGTCAGACATACTGACATACACTCACACAGACCTGACACACACACAGATACAGACACTGTCAAACATACTGACATACACTATCAGACATACTGACATACACAGACACACTGCCAGACATACTGACACACACACACACACACACACACACACCAGACATACTGACACACACAGAGACATACTGACACACACAGAGACATACACTGTCAGACATACTGACATACACTCACACAGACCTTCTGACACACACACAGATACAGACACTGTCAAACATACTGACATACACTATCAGACATACACAGACACACTGTCAGACATACTGACACACACACACACACCAGACATACTGACACACACAGAGACATACTGACACACAGATACATACTGACATACACTCACACAGACCTTCTGACACACACACAGATACAGACACTGTCAAACATACTGACATACACACATACACTATCAGACATACTGACATACACAGACATACTGACACACACAGACACATACACTGTCAGACATACTGACACACACACACACACACACACACACAGACACACTGTCAGACATACTGACACACACACTATCAGACATACTGACACACATACACACAGACATACTGACACACACAGACACTATCAGACATACTGACACACATACACACAGACAAACTGACATACATGTAAAATTTACATTTTAAGCCCACCCTCCAGTTTCCTACCTTTTGCTGGAGGGTGGCATCCCTGGGATCCAGTGTGCTGCCTGAGGATGATGTGAGTGAGGAGCCCCCATCCTCACTGCCTCCTCCTCCCTCCCGTGCAGGTCCTTCTTCTCCCGCGCAGCAGCTCTTTATGGGAGGAAGTGACGCTTGGCACTCACTTCCTCCCAGCGGTGCCGAAAAGCAAGAGGCCCGGTCGCGCTGTTAAAGGGCCACAGCGCCCGACCGGGCCCCTGCTGGTACAAGCCCACCGGGTGGCCCTAAGTGCATGGGCCACCCGGTTGGACTCCTTACATTGCGGGGGGGCCCTAAAGCGGCCGGGAAACATTTTATTTTTTTAGGGCAGCGGGGCCCACGGGACAGCTGCCTTGGGCCCCCAGGAGTAATTGGGCCCGGGGCAGCTGCCCCGTTTGCCCCGCGTTAAAGACGGCCCTGACTGATACATGAACAGGATTACTCTCATGGGCCATATGAAAATACCTAGCCACCGGGGATTTCCTGTCCTGATTCATGATTGCTAACCTGTGCTCCCTAAATATGGTTTTCAAAGATCTAGAGGTCTGACCCACATATAATAGGCCACATGTGCACTTCAATAAGTACACCACAAATGATGTGTTATAAGTTATTTTAGTAGTCATTTTAAAGCTCTCTTTATTCAAAGATGAAAGAAAATCAGACCTCCCATGACATATATATTGGCACGTAAGGCACCGTATTGCACCACACTTAAAGTTCCCAACTCCATATGCCACTGATGTATTATGAGATGCAATCGGGGCAAGTTTAGAAGGAGCCAGCACATTTTTTTTTATTTCTATTGTTCTGGAAGGTTACTCTAGGTGATCTGGGGATACTAAATTTCAACCAAGGGTCTAATAATAAAACCGGCCAATGTTTACATAATATGGAGATTATTTGATCAAAGGCCCTATTAAAAATCATGGTGAATATGGGACCTTTATTCTGAGCAACATCTCTGGTGCTAATATTAAATTTGTTCCGAGATATTGGTCTTCTTTTTAGGGGTTGATTTTCCAATAAGGATAACATTTCCATATGTTTGATGGTGAGGATGGTAAGTCTGGAGTATTGTCCTTAGAACAGGAATCAATCAAAGAACTTCTACTGAGGTTTCTCGCCTTCTAGTAAGCCCGGCAGATTATATTCGGTTCATAGTCTTTATCCAGAAAATGTTGGCACAGATCCAGGGACTCCTCTTCAAAGTCCTCCAAGAAAGAGCAGTTATGGCGCAATCTGGTTAATTGACCAAACTGAATATTTTTAATCCATGTTGGGTGGTGGCCACTAGTAGAATGTAAGAAGCCGCTGACGTCCACCTGTTTCTTGTAGGTTTTAGTCAGGATTTATCCTGATTTGCCACATAAAACTAAATCTAGAAATTCATTTGTGGTTTTATTCTTGTTGCTCGTGAAGGATAATCCCCATTCATTGTTATTGAGATATTGAACAAATTCCTCAGCATCATTCAAATCACCCTCCCAAATGATGAGGATGTCATCTATAAAACGTTTATAAAATTTGAGATGTCTCCTCCATATCGGGTTATTGAATACATGAATGGATTCCCACAGTCCCATAAAGATGTTTGGCATATGCTAGGGGCAAAACTGGGCCCCATGGATTGTGTATACGCCTCTGCAGGCAACAGCGGGTTGTAGTCATTGAAGTATATTCAAAGCATGGGTTTGTCACCAGTGAGCTACCCATTCTCTTTAATATTTTTATTAGTGATATTGCAGAAGGTCTTGATGGTAAGGTACGTCTTTTTGCTGATGATGCTAAGATATGTAACAAGGTTGATGTTCCAGGAGGGATAAGCCAAATGGCAAATGATTTAGGTAAACTAGAAAAATGGTCAGAGTTGCGGCAACTGACATTTAATGTGGATAAGTGCAAGATAAATCATCTTGGACATAAAAACCCAAGGGCAGAGTACAGCATATTTGATAGAGTCCTAACCTCAACATCTGAGGGAAATGATTTAGGGGTGAGAGAAGAATTACTAAACTGGTTCATGGATTGCAGGATAAAACTTACCAGGAAAGGTTAAAAGAACTTAACATGTATAGCTTGGAGGAAAGACTAGACAGATGGGATATGATAGAAACATTTAAATACATAAAGGGAATCAACACAGTAAAGGAGGAGACTATATTTAAAATAAGAAAAACTAGAACAAGAGTTAAGATAAGGCCAGTATTTCAAAAATTTCCTAGAATATATCTTTTATTCAATGCAGGTGTACAGTTAAACACATATAGAAAACATATGCGATCATAATCAGTCAATGATAATAAAATGTTTTACTAACGATACAGAATCATCATGTCAGCTAAAAGTTATTAAACAATAAACTAGGTAGAAGGAGTTGTGTTTTTGACAAGGAAACATGCTTTGAGATTTATTAAACTGTCTTCAAAGAGGATCTATCAAAAATGATCCTTACCACTTTGGAAATGAGCTGTATGGTTTAAAATTATGCTGTGTTCTCCAGAATATATCAGTAAACTATTTGGGTGTGACATTTAACAATTTTTTTGTGTTAGTTTATTTTTTAAATAATATTTTATTTCTATGTAATCATTTAAATAAATATTAGAAACAAAAATATGTCACAACGTTCTGCTGAAATTTCCTAATTTCCATGTCTGTTCTCAGATTAATATGTATACCTGTTTAAGAAAAAATATTTTAAAAATATTAGCATTTTGATACCTTAGAATCACTAACACGTTTCTCTTTTTTTGTTATATCATAGAGTTCATAGTAAGCCTGTAGCAGTGCTTCAAAATTAATATAATGCGACAAAATGTGTTGTAAAAGCCAGACATTATTGTTGAGATTTTTTTGTCTAAACCACGAAAAAATTACAATTTAATTTAATATTGCAGTTCATAGAACAGTTAATGGCAATAACAATAATAATAATTTAATTGCATGTGGTCTCCCAACCAGTGTGTCCGAATTAAACAATCGAGTTCTCTCATGCTCGTGGTCTGTCAGGGAATGTTCTACTAGAGTAACTCAAGTAGAGGTATAAAAAGATTACTGTGACCCTTTTTTTTTTTACCAATCCCCTTTTTTAAATTTATAAGGCACTATAGAGCCCTACCATGTACTTCCACTCTCTGTATTTAACTATTAAGCTGCAAAATAAACTCTAAACTTACCTAGAAACAAGCACCAGCTAAAGCTTACTGCGCTGGTCTCCACTCCCCCATCTGTCGTCACCACCACTTTCTCATGGTCCAGTCAAATGCTTCTTAGTGAGTGAGGGGTGGAAATTTTATTTTAAAAATGGAGGACTATTTAAAAAAGGCAGGAAGGTGGGGATGGCAGAGAGGGCTCTAATACAGAAAGGAGAAAGGGAAGAGCCTGGGAGAAGCTGAGAATGTCTGTCACCAGCACGCAGTGCACACTGACAAAACACATTTTTGAAAAGGATTCATAGAATTCCGGGCTGTCCAAATCCCATGTGCTGGGAGTGAAACTGGCCTAACAAAAGTCTGAATATCTCAGAATATGCAGCATTTCAAGCTGAAATTCTGCACCTACAGACTCCTACCACCATGACCATTTCTACAAGCAGAAATGGTCATGTGTTTAGAGTAACCCTTTAAGTTAGGGAATGCATGTATAGAGCTCACAGCCAGTGGTGGTTGCACTCGCATGCTACAAATATTTTTGTAGCTCATCTGTGCCTGAATATATCTAGACAAGTGCACATGAAAACATTGAAGACCAGTAAAAATTATATAGCTCATTATTCTAGATCCAAAGAGGAACCCACATTATTGCTACCAAGTCTAATTGCCCAAAAATGTCTGTTAGCCTGGTTTCATTCTTAGTAAGGGTGGGAATAAAGTCACCACCTATCATCTGTGTTTGTTTGTTTTTTTTATCATTTCATAGGTTCTTTTTAACATTCATGAGTTTGGTTATCTCGTTTTCAGATTAAAGTATTTACTCTATAATCTTTAATTATGCCATTCTGCCAGAACAGGCAACTCACAGACAATACAATGTACATATTATAATGCAATTATGTAAATTATGGCTAGAATTATGGTGTAATTCATTGAGCATTGATATTAAATTACTGTATGGCAGCTTCTGATAACAGATAAATGATAGATATTTGTTTGGTCTTTAAGATTATATGCAATTACCCAAATAATTAATATATTTTCTGTCATCTTTGATATGCTAGAACAGAATAATTAAAAACTACCCAAAAAAAAAACTAAATGAATTTTTCCTTTTAAAAAAAATAATTACTTACGTGTCCATGAGCCTGGTGGAGGATTAGACATAAACAAGTAATGACGTGCAAGGTATCCATCAACATTAATAATTTCAATTATCTTCTTAAGTTCTTGTATATCAGAATGTTTATAAGAGTCAAAAACTGTAAGAAAAGAATCAAGAGAGAAACCCTGCTTCAATAGGAAATATAAAGAGACGAGGCACGGAATGATTGGTTGGATTTTCAGAATATATAAAATTGGCAGAGAAACAAATGATTTGTTTTACGTCACCTTAATTGCTGCAGTTTTGTTAAGAACTGAAAGAGTGGCTAAAACAAATTTCAGAGGATGAAGTGAACCTTGAGTTGAGCTGATTAATGAAAACAATGAAATACGTTGCATGACTTGCAAACTCAAGAAAGATTCATGGCTTAAGAAATAAAACAGTTTCAATTTACATTAACATTAATAAACAACATTGAATTGGAGTCAGATAGCCTGGGTCATTGATCCTAGTGCGTTATTAGTTAGGTACCTCTTGCACAAAATTTGATTTGGAGATAGGTATATCCTATTTCAGTGATGGCCCTAGTGCCCAAACCGCAATACATGGAAACTTTTTTTCCTCCAATTGCCAACACGTCAATTACACCTGACTACTGAGGTTTAAGTTTAGAAAAAAACAACTCATACAGTTGTTTGAACTAATTAACATCTTTTGCTTTAAAATAACGCAACAACAGAGAGTTCAATGATACAAATTTTAAATAATTATATAAATAATAGATCAAATTAAGCTTATATTTATTAGTATCTCATACAAATGCAATACATACACACAGACTGCTGAACACATTCACACACACCGACTACAAGGGCCGCCATCAAGGGGTGACAACCATGACGGTTGTCACAGGCCCGGCGGCCCTGGAATGCCTTGCCGCACAGGCCCCACGTGGAGCGGAAATCATTTAGGGCCACCTGATGAGCCCTATATCTTCAGGGGCCCGGTCAGCACTGTAATAGCACCGCAAGTGCTGTTGGGAGGAAGTGACAGCTGGTCACTTCCTCTCAGCTTACTCCGCACGGGAAGGAGGAGAGACAGCTTGGAGTCGGCAAGGCAGCAAATTCCCATCTTCCCCAGCCACCCTTCTGCAACGAAAAGGCAAGGAAATGGAGGGTGGCTGAAAAATGAGGTGTGTGTATGTATGTATATGCATGTGAGTATGTGTATGTATGTAATGTATGCATGTATGTATGTCAGTATGTATGTCATTATGTATATATGTATAAAGGTCCCATATTCACCATGATTTTTAATAGGGCCTTTGATCAAATAATCTCCATATTATGTAAACATTGGCCGGTTTTATTATTAGATACTTGGTTGAAATTTAGTATCCCCAGATCACATAGAGTAACCTTCCAGAACAATAAAAAATCTAAAAAATTGCATGTCAGTATGTAGTTATGTGTATGTATGTGTCTGTCAGTATGTATTTATCAGTATGTATGTCTGTTTGTATATGTGTGTGTGTATCTGTATCTCCTTATGCATGTGTGTATATTTATGTATATTAGTATATGTCTGTATATGTGTTTCAGTATTTGTGTCTGTTAGTATGTGTGTATTCCTGTGGGCGGGATTTGGAGACGGGCCCTGGGGGTGGGCTTGGAGGAGGGCACCCTGAGAGTACCAAAGTAGTGCCCTCTTGTTTGTTCTTGGAGTCGGTAGTGGTGATCAATCTGGTGATGATATTGTGGTTTCCCTACTAATGCAGACATAGCACATTTACCTCTGCCCCAGGAGCTACTCACCTATGAGACAAAGGAATTACAAGAGGAGAGTGTGAAGACAACAGGCAGCAGCCCACTATTTTCTTCAACAGGTAGTGTGCATTAACCCTGTGCATCTTGCCAAAGGACATCTCTATCTGCATTGAATGGCCTCATCCAGCAAAGGCAGTTGAGACATCAGCTACATTTGTTTTCACTGGCACAAGTAGCTTACCCACTGTCATGGTTGCCATCACCACTACAAGTGCCACCCCTATCGACATACCTATTAGCATTTATAAATCAAGTGCTAGTGTACATCTTCAGCAGCCACAAGGTGAAGGGTTGAACCTTATATATTGTGGCAAAGCTTTGGGTCATTTTGAGTTCCTCTAAGAAAGCCAACTTGCAAAGTTAAGTAGGGGATGTGCAAAGACACCACAAGTCTGTGTAAAGACACAACATATGCAAAGATGCCACAAGTTTGGACTGCTGAGGAAAAAGCAGAAACAAAAAATACTAGGCCAGTTAGCAAGTTTATTTGTATGTATCTGATTTTGCTCAACCATCTATAATCAGTGGTACCTTGACCACTTCTACCACCATTGTTAGGCTGAGACAGGTTGGATAGTAACATTTGGACCCCTCATAATCCGGTGAATTAAAAAAAAAATAGAATAACTCTTTTTGCCTAGGTACTATTGTCAGTGTTTAAAACAAAGGTGAACAGTATTGAAGTGACAATTTACATCATGTCAGTGTTACTATATGAATCCACTTGATTCACTGATTTAGGATTGCTATGCTGATTTATAAATATTTTTATTTTTACTAAATTATGTTTTATTTTATTTCGGCTTGCTTCTGTGCCACTGTTTGTGCATTTCAAATTGTAATCTTCTCTGTGCGGCACCTTGCTAAGAATGTGGGACTACTTTGTTATTCTCAAGGTGAAAGGGGTGAATGTGTCCTAAATTGACAGAAAAAATAAATGACATCTGCTGCTGCTCCCACTCTTTTAAAATGTCTAATTTTAGTGGTCACTCCCTGCCTGCTGAGTCTTGTGTTGTCGCTATCTCCACAGACGCAGTTGAGACAAGCTGATAGGGCACTCTTATCACATTCTTTCGGTGCGTGAAAGAAGGGGGGAAAAAGTGAGCAGTAGGAAAATGACAAATCACTCACCTCTTCCACCCTGTGATGAACAAAGCTTTCACACATACATCTAGTTTGTAGCATCATAGAATGTCACCAGTGTTCTGTGTGTCTCAAGCAGGTGAGGTCAGAGACGATTGCCAGGATTAATCTCGTTCTTTATTGGTAAATATGATATAGTTACACACAATTTAGTATACCCAGCAAGCTAAAAAGAGGAAGAAGGAACTTATCTAGGATTACTTGCAGACATATAATTATCTGCAGAAGTGTTACTTGAATTATTGTTGGAGAGTCTCTGGTTATTCGTAGAATCATGAAAGGAAGTCCTTATTAGCCTTCAGGAGTCAGGCTATGCCAATTAGGAAGGTTTGTACCATGCTGTTATTAGCAAATCAGGCAGAGTTGATCAAGTTGGTATTCACCAGGCTGGTAACAAAGTAGGTTGATAACAATGCAGGTTGGTAGCGTAGATCAGGTTGGTAACATAAAGTAGATTAGTAGTGTAGATCAGGTTGGTATGAAGCAGGTTGTTTGTATAAAGTATATTGGTAACAAAGGTAGACCATCAACTTCAATGTAAAGGCTGTATTGAGCAGGGTGTGGCCTTTTGTAGGAGAAGTAATCAGCCCAGGCAGGTGAGGTAAAGTGAAGGAAAGTTCAGTCCTAGTGGTTAGGGAGGCCACTACTGGCAAATCATAGTTACTGCTGGAACAAAATTGAATAAAATGAATAAAGTTCTGTTAGGTTTTGGATCCTGACACTGTGCAATGGCATGAGCACTTTCCTCTTTCTACTAATAATACCTCTCCCTATAAAACCAAGCATTCTGCTAGCATTTCCTGCTGCTCTGTTACATTGTCTGCTTACCTTTAAATCGCCTGAAATAAATTCCCCTAAATCCCTTTCCTCAGATGTTGTACTCTGCCCTTGGGTTTTTACGTCCAAGATGCATTATCTTGCACTAATCCATATTAACTATCAGCTGCAACAGCTCTGACCATTTTTCTAGTTTACCTAAAACATTTGCCATTTTTCTTATCCCTCCTGGAACATCAACCCTGTTACACATATTAGCAAAAAGACATACCTTACCATCAAGACCCTCTGCAAATCACTAATAAAAATATTAAAGAGAATGGGTCCAAGTACAGATCCCTGAGGTACCCCACTGGTGACAAGTCCAAGCTTCGAATATATTCCATTGACTACAACCCTCAATGGAGAACATTCATGCATGCCCTTTAAGCCAAGCAAAGCCATCACATGAACAAACTCTGGACATCCCAAAAATGTTCAAGTTTGAGAAAATGACTTGAATGAAATATACTGTTGTGAAAAGCACAAGTCTATTGATTATTGACTGAGTTTGACTTAGCCTTAATCGTGCATGATTAAGGCTACATAGAGCTGAAACATCACACTTATTTGTGATGAGACTTACCCTCTAATAAACCCAGCATAAGAACCTTGGAGTGTCGCCTGTGTCTTTAACTAGTTAATACAAGTGTATCACAAATGTTCACTGGTATGGTGAGGATTATCATGGAGGTGATGAATCAGCTCAGTTTGAGAGGTTTAAGGCCTGCTCCTTCCTTTACACTTTTTATGGCTAATCCAAAATCAAGAATGTAAATGGATGTAGAAATATCTAGTAGAATTAAAAGAGAAGTTGTCAGAGATTGATTTTATTATCCTTACCTTCAAACTGCAGCTATGACATATCATCCTCAACTTTTCCCAGGTGTTGCTGCTGCTGTTTTATGTTTCTTTAACGTTTTTGTAGATAATCTGAGAACTGGTTTAGTCTGTTGCTGCACCTACGAATGAGGGCAATGATATCAAGGACAGGTTACTTTGCCTTGTAGTTTAATGTAAGTCAAAAACAAAGTATGGAATGCACAATGAAAGTATGCAACTGTAGAAAAGTTTAACCACATTCCCTACAGTTAGTTCATATTGATAAAGTCTAACACATGATGTATCTTAGCTGTGCCATTAACAAAGCAACCCATCAATGCCAGGCCTTTACCACTTACGTAAGCAGTTCAGATTAAAAATACAAAAAAATCTCCTCTTCATGAGAAATACAGCAACCACAGAAAATGGTTTGGACTTATTAGAACACCGTACATCTAAGCAAAACGAGCAATGGATTATATCTGAATTAAATTAACATAATTAAAAGGACCATAGAAATATGCAATGTATAACTAATTCA